TAAACATTTTTAAACGGCGAAATAAACTAAACTAAACTTAATTAAAGTTGGAAACGAGTTTGTCAGCACTTTTTTAGCAATGTTTTTTATTGAAATGTTTAACAATGCAAAATAATATCAACACAAAAATTTGTTCAATATAAAAAAGTTTTTATAATTTAATTTTTAGGAATAAATCATGTTGTACGTAAAGTTATAATAAGTAATAAAACATTAAAAAACAGCAGAGTAAAAACTGATTTTCTTTTATGAAATATTTCGGTCTAATTTTTATGGACAGTCATCAGACGTAAAATGCCAATTTAAAAACCGTTACAAATCAAAATATTAAAAACCATAAAGAAATCACACAACGTCAATAAAAATTGTATTGTTTTTTTATGATTTTCTTAAATAGAAAAATCCAACTATTTGAGGCAACTTTTACCCCCTGTTCAGTAATATCACGTATTGTTTAAGCTCCTGAGATATTTACAATGAAGAAGAAGATGAGACAACTCCTACACCAAGCAGAAAACATCATAAAAGTAAAATTGTAGTCAACTTGGTGACCTTCACAAGAGCATCAACAAACAAAGCTGCTAACATATGCAAGCAACTGGCTTGTGAAGGCATTGACATCCCAAATCCATGTGGATTTGGGATGTCAATGCCAAATCCACGTGGATTTGGGAAGCAATCAAGCTGAAGGAAGAAATGATTAAAAATTTGCATATGGAAAGTCGGTCCTTACACTAGGATGGCAAGCACATCAACAGTATAAATTATCAAGTGGTCGTTCTAAAAAAATGAAAGAAGAGAAATCAAGTTGGATGTCTTTGGTTTAGTAGATGGCAGGGCTTTAACTATTGCTCAAGAATTTATAAAGTCCCCAATGAATTTCACCTATGTAATTCGATACAGATGATTGTTGCAGATACCACCAGTGTTATCACTGGAAAAAAAGAATGGTGTTGTTGTAATATTGTAATGAATGTTCACAGAGAAACGCATCAACAAACTTCAGTTTATCAGTTGTCAACACCACGTATTAGATAGAATCCTTCGTTTGGTGATGGATAAAGAACTTGGAAGTAAAACACAATTACCAAACCTTGAATATCTATTTGTATCTCAACTGTTGAAGGAGCACGAACAACTTAAAACACAGTTTGATTACGGGACAGAAGTAATTCTCAAAACGTCAGGCTGGAGAGATGATATGAAATTTTTGTTTCATCTCACTCGAGTGTTTTCAATTGATTACGTTATAAAAAATACCCAACATCAGCAATGCGAGGTGGAACTCTAGAGCTATACCAGCATACCTGGCCTTCATTTTAATCATATGGCTTCATTTTAATCATAGGGCAGATCATTGGTCTACATACCATCTGTACAATGAAAACGACTTTAATAACTTGGCTGAAATACTGAATCCATACAAAAAGGCTTTAAGCTCTTTGAAAAATCACTGGAAGCAAGAGCCATCCATACTACAGGTACCCAGAAGTAATCAATGCGCACAGCGCGCAATCAAAGTAATAGAGGAAATTTATTTACCATGCGAAAATCAAGACAAATTGGACCAAGATAAGTTGCACCTTCGATTCCTTCTGTGTAACAAAGAAGAGCAAGGTCAACGGTCTGAGTCATTGTTGGATTGAAAATTTATTGTATTACATGACTATGACATTCTAAATACATTTGAATACATAGTAGTACTTTTGTCAAAATCGATTTTTCAATGGCGGAGTGAACTTTTTTGAAAAGATATGCAAATAATAGTTCATTTCGTGCTTTTTAGGTAAAAGTTCATCAAACTACACTACAGGAGCATGGGGTTGATAAAAAGTCATAACCCTATTGCACACCCCAGGGTTGCTATTTGGTATTAACCTAGATTTGTTGTTACAAAGATATGTTTTCAAATTAGGTGGTGTTGTAAAAATAACTTAGAGATTTTCGACGTAGTTTCGGTCCAAGTGTTGGTAGCCAAGGTAGTTTTATTATTACAACACTATTTTCTAGTTTTTTTGCAACTTTATTGTTCTGATTGTTTTTACTTAAAAAGTAATTCGCGGCGTTGTTTCTAGATCTGATCTTTTATGACCTTTTTCAACAAATATATGTATTATAAAATGAATTTCGTTGTTAATGTATTTTTCGTAGCAGATTTTAGTGGTTTGTGACATGAAACCTTTAAAGCTACCGTAATAACTGCAGGGATATTTGAGATTTTATTTGTATGTTTGTTATTTAAAAATGTGTTGTTATTTCACATGGTTTTTATTTTTTATTAAAGAAATCCAAATAATGAATTTTTTATTAAGTCTGTTTCAAAATATTACCCTTCCTGGATTTCAAAATATCAACCTCCCTAGATTTGCTTATTTTTGAATATTTTTTTCATACTGATCAATTTTAAACCATGTTTAACACTAGCTTTTTAAAAATTGTTTAACACTAGCTTTTTAAACCATGTTTAGCACTAGCTTTTTAAACCATGTTTAACACTAACTTTTTAAACCATGTTTAACACTAGCTTTTGAATCTTAATAGAATCTTTAAACAATTACAAGCTATATTTTTAAGTTCTATTTTTACAAACGTATTTCGAAAGACTTTTTTACAAGATTCGTTTTAGCTGGTCCTCGTGTATTTTTTGTTAGTTGGTCTTCTTGTGTTTGTTGTTGGTTGGTCATTGTATGTAACGCAAAAATAGTTCAAAATAAACTAATGTTTATTATTAATAGTTCAATTTTTTTTTTTTAAATTTCCTGTACTTAAGTAGCCCAGGTTACGGTATGTTTTCAGTTCGTGAAACAGCTTTTTTTTAATATTATTTTTATACCAAAAGATGGAAAAAAGTATTTTTATACCAAAAGATGGAAAAAAAAGGTAATTTTTAAACTAGGCACATAGAATGGAAACGCACACTATCCTTACGATGGTTAGGTTTATAAACAAAAAACGCTAACATTTAAAAAAGTTGATTTTGTCTTACGTCATGTTTGGTTTTTTAGAAATTTATAGCACTTAAATGAGTTGTTTAAAGTTTGAGAAACTTTTGTTAGGAAGTCCAAGATATGTAGTATAGGCTATTTTTTTAAATATATTTATTTATTGCTTCTAATATAAAACAATATTTTCCATTTCAATATTAAAAATATTTTGACCAATTTTAGTGAAGTTTATGGATCAATACACCCGCTTCTAAATTTAAGTTTTTCAATTTTGTCCATATTTTTTCACCTACACACACTTTTTTCATGCCCACTATAAAAAAATAAATTATATCTAGTGATTGCAAACAAACATGTAAAGTTAAAATTCGACACAACCTGTTATCCGCCATTTGTTGAAGCTTAATGAGTCTCACAGTTCCCTGGCAAAACATGTGACGCTGAAATGCATTCTACTTATTTAGGCGAAGTCAAAACAACCGGTGTAGTTGAAAGTACTGTCGGAACATTTTAGTTGACATTTTCAACTTCATGTTTATGAGGAAATTGTTTTAAAAGGAAATTGAATTTGAAAGATCGAATCACGTTCGTTTATTCTTTTATCCTGAATTAAATTTCTAAGTCAATATTTACTTTTTTATATTTTCACAGTGATTTGAGTTCACAATTGATGACATTTTTGTTGTTTAATGAAGAAAGGAAAATACAGCCTGAAATTGTGTCCTCGGAACTACAACATGAACTACAAAACCTTTAAAAAAAAAAAAAAACACTAACATTATGATTTATTTAAGTGTTTATGTTGTTTTTTATGTTGCTGGAAATGTTTTTCTTTTATCGGCTTAAGTGTTATATATATATATATATATATATATATATATATATATATATATATATATATATATGTATATATATATATATATATATATATATATATATATATATATATATATTAATATAGTAGTATATTTATATAGAAATATAAACTTTTCAAAATGTTAAATGAAATATATTTGAAAAATTTCTAAAAAAATATTTTACTTAAAATAGCCTAATTTAAAAAAAAATAATAAAGTTTGACTGAATAAATGAAGTACAGCTTAAATTGTTAACAAATTTCGTATATTTCGTTCGTCTTCTTTTAGCAGAAGTTTTTTTTATTTTTAATTAGCTTAAAACTCTTTCAAAAATTTGCTTTATTTTGAAGTCACGGTATTAAAACAGCATTTTCAAAAGAGCTTTCTTTTTGTTGTGGAATTTTCGCATAATAAAAATTAAGTCTTTTAAAGCAGCGAAGGAATTCCTGTTTTAACGTCTAGTCATTCTTCAATTGAAGCATTAAACAATAATATGGTTTTAAGTACTTTCCCTGCAAATTATTTTTTTGTTTCATTGTATATCTTGAGTGACAATAAAACTAAAATCGTAGTCCGGAATTTTCTTATATTTCGGAATTTTTTTTCGATAAATCATTTTTTTTTTTTTTTTTGTTGTCGTTATTTTTGTTTTATGTTTCGATATTATGACTTTGGTTGTATCATTTTTTAAATGTTTACATTTTATGTTGTTTTTTTTTATCTGTAATCTTTTTCTTTTTTTAGTATTTCTCGTTTAGTATGTGAAGAAATACAGTTATATGCTAAAATAATTAATATATGGGTCGTTTTATTTAAAAAAGACTTGTTCATAAATAAAAAAAGTTGTGGTATTTTTTTTTAATTGAAAAAGTATTCAAAGCACTTAATAATCAAAACAAAAAGCCAAAACGAATGCGTGTGCAAATTTGACTAAAGTTTAATAAATTAATGATAAATTAAAGGACTTGTGATTTATAAAAGAAATTAAATACATGCGGTTTAAAAACAATTATCAAAAATTCCTTTTAAAAAAAAAACTTCTTTACATATTTTATTTTAAAACTTTTTGTTGCTCTTTTTTTCTTGCGCTAAATTAACTTAGAATTTTAATTTCGTTCTTTTCATTCCTGCCAAAAAAAAATTATTATTTACATAACGATACTGATGAAAAATAAATCTTTTCGCACAGCGTGATGAAACCAAACAACGTAACTTTGGTTTTAATTTCCAAAGAAGTGGTTTTTTTTCCAACACTTACTCGCAGGTTTTAATTTTCTTTTAATCCGTTGACATGTTTTCCTGTTGTTTTCGTTTTATTTAAAGCGTTTTGACAAATCAAGATAAAGGGTTGTTTTTCTTTTCTGGTCTGTAAATTGCTACTGGAATAAAGTGAAGTGAAGCGAGAAAAAGCCATTCTTCGCTTTAATAACAAGTCAATAGGCGATATTTTCTTACGTCAGTAAGCAGTTGTTATGAAAATGACATGACAGTAAAGAAAGATTTAGAGAACAAGTTTTTGGCATTCAAGATGATAAAGAACAAGTTTTCGATAAGAAAAATTTTACAACTGAAAGTTGAGGTAGAATTAGTTCATTTTTTTTGTTTACATTTTATTTATGTTGAGTAGAACATTAATATTTTGTTCTCATTTTATTACTATGTAAACATTCCTGTTTTCGTTTTTGTGAGTTTTTCGAAATTTATAAAGTTGAAAAAGTTGTCAAAGAAAATTTTGTTGTTATCAAAATCCAAATTTCTATTAGGCGATGACCGCTTACTTATTTTTCTTAGTATTTTTTCTTTATGAGTTTCGCAACGTGTGATTTTCTTTACTTTGCAATTTGTTTTCTTCATAAGCTTATAATTTACTCTAGTCAGTAATAATTCCTTAGAGTTATTTTTCACCATTAACTTATAATCACTGTAATCGGCTCTCCTTCGTACAAATGTAATGATAATTTTTGTTTTTCAATCTAAAAAGGAAGTCCATTGAAGAGAGCAGTACGCGTGATACTTTTCGTTTACTATATGCTTTATGCCTCTGAAGTTGAAACTTTTTTTTACGTTATTGTTAATGTGTAATCACTCTTTTTTGAGAAAAACACTTTACCAGTCTTTGACTTAAAATAATAGTGAAAAAATAGTGAGCAAATTATTAAATGGACATGTTTTTAGGTATTAAAAAAGATTTGAAACAAAATAAAATTAGTTTTAGGAAATTTTTACAACAATAAGAGAGTGCAACCTTTTAAATCATTGTATTATTGTTTTACAAATTTTTCAGTTTAAGGTTTTCTTTTTTTTTCTTTGGAATTCTTTTACTCTGCATCTGACACGCAACGCACGAAACTCGTTAAATAAATTTAATAACTAGTTGTTATATAAACTGCATTATAAAAAGCGGTTTTGCGAAAATAATTGCATTTTTGAATGAAGCACGGTAATTGATTAGTAAAATATAAATTATATATATATATATATATATATATATATATATATATATATATATATATATATATATATATATATATATATATATATATATATATATATATATATATATATATATATTTATGAAATTTATATTTATACAGGGCCGACGACACGGGTTTCGAAGTGAAGAGGGGGGGGGGCACAATCGTCAATTATTCAAAAATGTCTTCTATATCTAGAATTTTCTTATGTAAAAAACAAAACAAAAAAAACAGACCTTTCAAAAAAAAGTGGGGGGGGGGGGTGAGTGCCCTCCTGGCCCCCCGGTGTCGTAGGCCCTATTATACATATATATATATATATATATATATATATATATATATATATATATATATATATATATATATATATATATATATATATATATATATATATATATATATATATATATATATATATATATATGTATAAAATCTTTTTTTCATTATAGAATGAAATGCGTTTTTTTGAAGTTGAGTGGGAAAAAACATGGGAGAATGAAGAATATATCCGCCAAATAGCACCGGATCTTTTAGATGAGTTTTTGTCAAAGGAAAACTCTTATAACGTAAAATATAAGAACGACACGACACCTAACGAAACAGTAAGCTTTTTTTATTGCGCATGAAAATGTTCTCTCTTTTTGTTTCTGCTTTTCCTGCATTTTTATTTTAATGTAGAATTTACGTCCTTTTTACTGATCTGTACGGGAATATGAAAGAATCATTTTTATGCTTTAAGCGTTCTAATTTTCATTTAAAAAATGACCGATATAAATGATAAGTGTTTTCACGGAATGTTTTCCTATTCATAAGATGTAGACCAATACAGCGGAATCTTAGATGATGTTTATAAATTATGATTATTTTGTCAGCGCTCATAGTATTGTTATTTTTTTTGTTGTTGTTATGCTTTTAATAATCTATTTTATACGGTGTGTTATTTTCAACAAAAATTTGCGAAAAACGAAAAAACTTGTTTCGTTTTAAGAAAAGTTTGTTTTCTTGAAACTATTAGAAAAAGTTTGAGGATTTTATCTTTCCAGGCTCCAACTATGATTCTTTTTAATTAAAATATCACAAAAAATATTTTAGTTAAAAAGATCATGATTGGAGAAATTTAGGAAATATTTTTTTGTCAGTGACAAAACCATACGAATATTTTTTAAGAATTTTAAAGTTTTGAAAATAGTAAGCCTCTCTCAGTATAATCGTAAGAAAAAAGTTTATAGTTTAGCAAGTAAATTTCATAGTTTTTTGTTTAAATTTTTGTACAAAAAAAAATTGGAATTTTTTTAAATTACATCATTTTATGACTATGATGCGTTATTTTATAAAACTTCAAGTTTATAATATATTTATATATTTGATTAAAAAAATAACTTTTTTTTTATTTAACTGTATTTTCTGTGAAGATTAATGTAACACACACCAAAAAGTGACTTTAAAAACAAAGAGAAAAAAAGAAATTTAACACGAATCTCCATTTATAGGAAATATTCCGCGGAATAAGTATGATCAATTTATTTTTTTACTTGATTTGATAAAAAAAATTTCCGCGCCGTTCCGCGGAAAGTTTTGTGTTATTGGAAATCCGTTTTTAGATCTGTTTTGTAGTTTTTCACGCGGATCCTTATATTTACACATTTAGAAAAACAATTTCTTACAAAAAATATTCTTCCATGAGGTGTAATTATTAAAACAATCTAGTGCAGAACCTAGTACAGAAGTTTATAAAATATTCTAAAAATTATTTATAACGGAAATCCTATGTAAATAAATACACGATCAAACAAATGCAAACAAATAAAAAAAAGATATATTCTAATCCAAATAAATTATTTGAAATTTTTTAAAAAACTAACTTAGATTATACTACCAGTGGTCATTTCCCTAGAATGGGGAAAGGTAGTCCAAATTTGAAAGTTAAAAAATCGTTGTTCTAAAAAAAAGGAAATTATTATTTTAGTATGTTTTGAAGACGTTTTTTATTTCTTATCAAGTATAACTTATAAATAAGGTTCCTACCATAAATGTAAATTTTTTTAAATGTTTTTTATATGGTTGATATCATGAATGTAAATTTGTTTGGTGTTTTGATTGTTAAAATAAAGAACTTATAAGAGAAATAGTAATAAAAATACTAAATTTAAATAATAAGTATATAACTTATAGATGTTCATACAATAATGTGACATTAAAATATTTTACGAAAAATTACAACGATTGGATCGTACCCTCAATAAAAAGTATTAAAGTTTGCCTCCGTTTCTTCTCAGTACATTTTTTGGTGGTTTCTTCTCCGTTTTTTTTTTACAGTACATTTTGTACGTTTCTTCTCCGTTTCTTTTCAGTACATTTTTTGGTGGTTTCTTCTCTGTTTCTTTTCACAGGGGCGGATCCAGCATTTTTTGGTCTTTGAGATTGCTAACTTTCAGACATGGAGCAAACTTCAAACTTTTATATGTTTATACTTATGTTAAATAAGGATGCTTTGCAAAAAATTGCGATGATTGGAGGTTGGGTACAAAAAAGCCCCAGAATTTGTGTCCCCCTGCCCCAAACGTGAGAGCAACAAGTTGATGAAACAATTTTTATACTATTTTTAACTAGACTTATATTCATCGATAAATTTTAAGTTTCATAGTAAAATAATTTAGCGTTCAAAAATTATGACCATATAAAATTTGCAACCCCCTCAAATTGAGGGGGATTTAAACTTTATACAGTCATAATTTTTGAACGCTAAATTATTTTACTATGAAATTTAAAATTTATCGATGAATATAAGTCTAGTTAAAAATAGTATAAAAATTATTTCATCAACTTGTTGCTCTCACGTTTGGGGCAGGGGGCACAAATTCTGGGGCTTTTTTGTTCCCAACCTCCAATCATCGCAATTTTTTGCAAAGCATCCTTATTTAACATAAGTATAAACATATAAAAGTTTGAAGTTTGCTCCATTTCTGGAAGTTAGCAATCTCAAAGACCAAAAAATGCTGAATCCGCCTCTGTTTCAGTGTGGCAAAAAAAAAAATTCAATTATATCAAAATTTATTGGCAAATTTGTAATTTCACTTTGTAATTTCAAAATACTTGAACTTTGAAAATTATAACATTTAATTTACAGCCAAGTTTCTTTTTTCCTTCAAAGGAAAAAAAAAATGAAAAAAAAATAGAAGGGGGGGGGGGAGTGTGGGGTAGAGATTTTTGTTTAGTTTAAACTTAAACTTGATTTAATATAAACTTGAATAATTTTTTTTTTGAAACCTTTTCTTACTAGAAATAAGTAAAAATATTTCGGATGAATTTTTTGGGTTTTATTGTTCCCAGGTTACAATCACTGATTTACAATAATTTAAAATATATATTTTTTTCACATTAGTGTAAACAAGCAAAGAGTTAATATTAAACCATTACTGTTTTTTGCAAGCAATCACTATTTAAGTTACAAGAAAATAAGAAATAATAGATAGAAGAGATAATATATAGAAAAGTCAGTAGATAGAAGAGATAATAGATAGAGGTGATATTATTTAAGATAGAAATGAGTTGAAAAACAATAAAACTGTTGACAATAGATATAAAAAAGTGTTAATTGTATATATCAGAAAATTATAAAGCCGGAGGAGAATTTAATAGCAACAATGTTTTAGGAAAAGTTAGATAATTTAAGTTTTTATAGCATGATGGGACAGTTTCAGTAAAAAGATGCAACTTGGCTAAACAATGAAACACACAAGGTTGTGTTTTGTTGGTAGATGAAGCTTGCTTTGAGCAGCAACAACGTATTTGTAAAAGATAAAAAGAAATTCCACCTTAAGGGTCGTTCATAAATTACGTCACGCAATTTTTGACCGTTTTCGAATCCCCTCCCCCCCTCCCCTCGTCACAAAATCGTAACACTTAAGAAGCGATTTTTGAATGTCGTCACAAAACCACCAACCCCCCTCCCCCCTTATAGCGTGACGTAATTTATGGACGACTTCTTAGGGGTCGTCAAAAAATTATGCCACGATTAGAGGGGAAAGAGAGGGGTAGGCGATTTTGTGACGATTTGTTACGAGGGGAGAAGGTTCTCGATTTTTTTTTTATTTATTGTTATTTAGGTGCTCTAAGAAGACCTAACGGTCTTCTTAGAGACCAATTTGCTCTGTGATAAGACCTAACGGTCTTGTTCAATCAGCTCTGTGACAAGACCTGACGGTCTTGTCACAGAGCACCGCGGAAGTGCATTTAACCAGGAAGTTCATGCCACCTTTCTTACCGTGACTCGAAAATATGTCCTAGCCTTGTTTTGAACCTCGATCTCCTGCTTATAAAGCAAGCGCTCTAACCACTGTCCCACGGCCGCAAATTTTGTGACGCAACTTTTTTTTTTAGAAAAGACGTTCTATTAATTAAAAGAGTATCTGACCAAACCAAAACCCTCAGTTGATATAACTACATGTTGATTGTAATATTATTTACGCCTAAATCTTACTTAGTTGATGTGTACACTCCGTAACAGCCTGTTAATATTTTTGCATGTATAATATGTTTTTATTTATTAAATATTTTATATATATAATATTTTGCATATATTATATATCGGAAAAATAGATTTTTAAAATTGGTATCATGTTTAAGAGAGCGATGTTAAATTATACAATTTTACACGGAACTATTGGGGTGAAAAAAAAACATTAAACAGACTAAAAAGTACTAATTAATTAACTCAAAGAAACTCAGAGAATTATAGACATTATTATATTTAAAATTTTTCGTATTTTGTAAAATTTTGCACCTCCTCCCATCCTACACCACTCCTACGGCGGTTTCTTTGCACCATTTTTGAGAAGTTTTTGTAGTGTCCCAACTCTAATAAGATAGATAAGTTTTTTAACATATTTGGTTGTTGGTTTTTTTTGTCAGTAGAGGACCATTATTTTTAATCTTTAGGGCCGTAGGAACAAAAATTATATTTGGGGGGAGGAGGGGTTAGTACTACCTTGAAACCTCTAAGTAGTTTTAAGGACCTTTTTTTTTTTTTAGTAATTTTTTCAGTCAACTTCTTCAAAATTATTGGGGGGCAAATGCCCCTGCTGCCCACCCAATTGCTACGAGCCTGATCTTTACAATAAATTTTATCAATTCTTTCGTTGTTTTTTTTTTTTTTTCTTGTTTTTTTTTTCTTTTTTTTACATTTTTGTCTTTGTTTACAAAGATAAAGAGACAAGGCTTCTGAAAGAAGATCATAATGATCTTATCATCAGAACCTTATAAAAGTTTTTTAAAAACAATACACCAACAAAACTAAAAAACTACAATAAATCGTGATATAAATTGGAAATATAAATATATAATAAAAAGTCTGATCTTATCATCAGATCTTATAAAAATGTAAATATATAAATACATGTATATACAAAGTAAATACAGTAATACATCTCTTTTTAATAGGCAAGAGAAAATACAACAGTCTTACAAATAAAAAGGCAAATACGTGATTATAACAATTTTATTCCAAAGATAAGGTGCTCGAAATGTAATTCAAAATTTGTTAAATTTTGTTCTTCAAATAAGTTAATGTACAAAATTTTTGTTTCTAAGTAAATATTTATTA